GAACTAGAGGAAATTTTTTTGTTTCATCATTGCTACACTGCACCCTGACTGGCTGTCTCCTCCCCGTGACCCTTCTGCAAGGGAATGTCCAATTGCCTATAGATGGGCTTTGTGTCTCCACTCCACACTCCCCCGATTCACAATGATAAGATTTTTTGTTCTGATGATGCCTGATACCTGATCCCTTCAACACCTCGTGATCGCACAGGCTGGTGTGCTTCTTCAATGTGGGCTTTGTTGCTTCTGAGCTAGATGGCCGCTTGTTTACCTTCAAGCCTTTAAGATCACAAGTTTTCTTAAACTAGATTTGAAGGGAATAAATCTGGCAACATCATTTTCAGATTGGTAAAACAGCTGATTTGCATTCCCCTGTGATTTTTAACAACATTAAAGTACATATTTTTAGTTTTATTTTCTAGTTTATTTGTAGTGGACTAAATCAGTCAGTTGGATATTTTCTTTCAAGGTTCTGGGATGCTAGCCACAAGGTCAGTGGTTCAAATACCCCAGCTCCTCTGTGGGAGAGATGAGGCTGTCTGCTCCCACAGCCTCAGAAACCCTGATTAGGATCCCTTAATGGGGATCAACTCAGCAGCAGTGGGCTATGTGAGTATATGTGTGTTCATGTTTGTGTACATGCACAGTGGATATATACACCATATATTTATGCAAATAATATATACATTAGTTTTTTACAGTCAGCATAATCCCGTGTGGGTTTCCTATGCACATATGGGTGCATGTGTTACTTCCATGAGCATGCTGTATGCAAAACGTAAGGTGATACACGTTTGTGCGTGTTTCACATGTATTCATATACATTAAAGCACACAGGGGGCACAGTCTCAGGCACAGATTATGGCCCAGGACCATAATCTAATGGGACAACTCAGTCAATTGGAATAAAGGGTATGTTCTACATCCAGGCTTGGTGAGTCGCACCTGGGGTCTTCAAAGCTACAAGCAGTCCTTTAGGACACAACTGTACGTCTCGACCCCTCTGCAGCAAATCAGAAAGAAGGAAGCTAAAGACTCAAAGAAGAAACCAGTCGGCCCGAGTCTACAAGACCACAGGGCCTCAGCGATCTGAGAGCAGAACTATATGGTGCCCAGCTACCCCTCTCGACCATTCTGACCAGGGACACAACAGATGGTCCCGGAGAGAAGAGGAGAAAAATGCAGAACAAAACTCAAAGTCCTTACAAAGGCCACACTTACTGGATGGTAGAGACGCGAGACTAACCACCAAAGCTATCCTTCTAAATGCCCTGTAAACTTGGAACTAAGACCACTCCCAGAGGCCACCTTACAACGAAACAGCAGATTGGTTCATAAAAAGAACGGGCTCATCTACATAAGGCCCAACTGTCAATCTTCACCCTGTCTGTATGCACATGAGGGGTGGAGGGGTGCAGGGAAGGGAAATGGGCATTCAGATCTCCATCTGTGAGAGTCATTCTATCAAGGTAACAGTTTTCCAGCAAGTAACTTGGAAAATTTGGGTTCAAGGGTCCTTCTAAAAACTTTTAAACCCCAATCTAAACCCACTGCTTTGGAGCGTCCTCAGCCTTCATAACTGAATGAAGAACTGCCCCACGGGGTTTTGGAGGCAGCAAACCTTTTCTGGAAGCTCACTGCCACATCTCAGCTTGAAGTACTAGGTTGCAATAGTAGACCTTTAGGACCGCGATTGGGCGCTTTAACCGCGGCGCCACCAGCGCGTCTAACGTTTTCAGATTTCGTTATTCTGCTCCTTGGCCACTAGATGTCTCACCTTCCTAGCAATTAAGGAACTGAAGCGGCAAATTTAAATGCAAAGCTGTCAAGACAGAGGTATTCGCGTCTTGGAATGTTAAATATAAAAAATAAGACACAAGAAACGAATCTCTTTCTCGTCAACTATACAGCTGAAGTTGCCTGCAACGTGTTTTCGCTGCTGTCGACTGGCCCTAGACGTTGGTCCCCATCACCCGTCAACCTCCTTCAACCCTTCTTTTTCCAACTGCTCAAGCTC